CACACAGAGTTATTTTGTCTCGTATTCATTGCTAAGTCTTAATTATTAGGGGGGTTTATTATAAAACCGAAACACTCCAGCTCATCATTTCACTTTTATTTAAACTTAAAACATGCCAGTGCGCACAGCTCAGTCGTATATAATCTGATGCTGTTATTGCACAAGCCGCTTCTATATGTTTAATTTGTCAAAATCTCCCCCTGCTGTCTTTTTCTCTCTCCAGCCTCCCTGTGTGTTTCATAACACGGTCCTGTCTTCAGTGGCAGAGCAGGGTGATGATGTGGCTGTGCTGAATGGCTGCCAGGAAGAGCACAAGACTAGCAGTGCCAAGGTACAACACGCACACACGAGCAACGACAGCATCGGTGCACTTGTCAAGCACTCGATTAAGCATTTGTCACTAAAGCTACTTGACAGTCATGCCCCGTGCTTATCGCCTGTTGTGTCCTTTCTTCTTTTTTACCTCCGTCGTCTCTCCTCTGACTCTGGTCCCTCTGTCTTTGTCATCGCCTTTATCTCATCTACTCATCACAGTTTATCCCAGGTCACAGCCCCAGGGCAGTCAACGGCCTGCTGAGTCCACCGCTGGAGGAACCAGTGCGGGCCAGTCAGAGTTCTCTATGTGACACGGGAACTGGCACCAGTCTCGGCATGGCCGGGGGCACAGGGGCAGCAGGTACAGGCATGGATCACTCTGCCTTGATACAGTTGCGTGCCAAGAACTACAGACAGAAGAGCGACGCCCATTTCGTGGATGTTATAGGGGAGGACAGGTGAGCAAAGTGGTTAAAGGTGGAATTTATGATCTGATAAGGTCACTCAAGGATGACTAATTATGCAGTAAAAGTTATCACTTTGGCGTTGAATATGATGCCATGTTTTCATAATTATCTAAAGGTTTATTACAAATAAACCTTTGTACTGAGGGCTCGCCTCGCCAGATCACAGAGATAAACGCATAAACTCCACACACAGAGTTCTCAGGATGCTCTTAAAGATGAAATGCAAACATCGTATGATTACTTGAGGACTCAAGGGTTTAATGCTAATGTAGGAGCAGTTGTTTCAGACGTACAGTGTGTTTGTTTTGTCCTGAATCACCGGACGAGTTGTTACAGTTGTTGCATTTTTTTCGCACAATAAAATAATAAGTGAACCATGTGACTTTTTCTGACCTTTTGTCGTATTTTTGTTTTCCTTACTCTGATCTCCAGTCTAATGAAGGATTACTTTTTCAAACCACCCATCAATAAGATCAGCCTTAACTTTCTAAAGAGCCCTCTGGAAAAAGCCTATCGGAGCAGCTACAAGGAAGAGGTACACACAAGTACACAAACACATTTTTCTACTCAACTGTTTGATGATCCTACCAGCGATTGTGATTTTAACACTCTTCGCTGATTAACTTGAGGCTTAACTAAAAATAGCACCCAGCAGAAGAGAGGGCTTCCTTTGTGGATAAGAAAAAAAAGAACCACCCGAAAACCTGAACTGTTAAAAAGCAGAAGACAATAAGGAGACGAATGACAAACAGTAGTGTCCTAATGCATCTTTTCAATCTGAGGCAGAGCGTTTGATTCTCTCTGTGTCACTGCGTGCTTGTCTCTTTGACCGATGGGGTGGAGTTGTTGTAAATTTTTCCTTGTACCCCTCTTGTTTCCGAAATTTTATACCACATGCTCTCTCACACAGGCACACACACACACAGGACCAGTTCCAGTTGGCCTGCATTGACCTCAAAGTCTTGTAGCCACCTGGTGTTAAACCAGTGTTACTACAAAAAAACAAAAACCCCACAACACTAGGATTACATTTACATTTCATGCAAAATGTCTCCAGTATGTGATCATAAGAGTTTGCACATGACTATGACTTTTGGGTTTAGCTGTGAAAATATATTCAGTATGTAAATAATATTTATTATTTGCTAAAGCGGCACAAGTTTTAGTTTGTGCATTCGTGTCTAGAAAGAATTGTTAAACAATTGGAAGAATTCAGGTGATTTTTGCATTTGTAAAAAAGCTTTTATTTGTCACTTTTACTGTTGTTTTGCACCTCCCTTTAAGGATGAAAATAGGATTTAGTTGGGGTTTTTTTTAACACCCACTGAAGAAGTGTGATTAATTTAAAAATAATCTGTCAGTTTACAGAAGGCAGTAACATTTTTTTAAATTAAATCAGATTAGGAAACCGTGTAAAAACAACGCAGATCTGGATACTGCTGATAAAAAAAAGGTAAAAGAAATATTTTGGAAGTTTCATTGTGTCTGTACATTGTTTTGCATTTAGATTTAGTAGTTTCTGTAAAAATGAGCAATTGCAATGACTCCTCCCATTTAGGTCAGAAACATGGTTCCGGTGCAGACGTTTGCAAGCACTACCTTCAGCTCCTTATTGGATGTCCTCCTCAGCTGTTTTGTCTTCCTGGCCCTCACCCTGGCCTGCTTTCTTCCACCTCTCATGAGCTCATCCACTCTGGCTACCGCTGCCCTGGCCTTGGCTCCCCTGGCTGGTCTGTTTGAGCTGGCCTCCTTGGTGCTCTCCATACGGTGAGGATGTTTAGGCAGCTGATGCAGATGGAGAGTGTTTGTGGGTGTTAGTGAGTGCGCACACATGTTGTATATCAAAAATGTTTTGACCGATATGCCAATAAAAACATTTGTATAAGATATTTTATAACTTAACACATTCATTGTCTCAACATTTGACCTTTTTACGAAACAATGACAAGACCTCAGTGTTTTCCCCAGATTTAATTTTTCCTGGCGGGATAGAGAACTCGCTCAAGTGTTATTTATACCGTTGCTCTCGGTGCGGTTCCAGCTGGGCGTAAGAATACGCAATTGTTTGTTTTCAAGTCGAGTGCCGTCGCAGTCGAATAAAAATCTGTATCTCTTGGGCTTCAGTGCCACGGAACTGAAACTACTGATAGACCAACATGCAGGACTGTGACTTTCCACTGAGACTAGCATGAATTGTTTTACACTGTTTTATGTTTTATTTGGCTTCCACACCACGGAGAAATTTCCCCAGTCAATTACTGGCTTAGAAACCGGCACAATGACAAACTCATACCAGGCTTAAAGAGAAAAAAAACAAACTTCTCCTTGGATTTTCCAATACTCTGAGTAGTGCTCGGGATGTGTTTTCTTGTGGTACTTACTTTAATGACTGTGCATGGAGAGTATTTAAAGATTAATTAATTTTCACTTATTGTCTTGCCTAAATGGGCAATAAATCTTCATCTTCTTGCTGTGACTTGGACAGTATTATTGTTTTAATAATGTATCATAATTAAGGGTAATGAGAATCTGCTGCAGTTTTTTCCCAGACTGAGCAAGGATTGAGGAAGATAGAGGAGAAGAGGCGGCGTGTTTTTCTCTACTTTATTTTCTGTCTAACTTTGAAATTTTTCAGTTATGGTTTAAAGTTTTTGTTCATTCTGATTTTCATTAAGACAATAAATGATTCCTCCTTCTCTTCTCCACTCCTCTCGTGCAGCATGGCCTTCTACTTGGAGGAGGTGATGAGCTGTACTCACTCCCTCCTCCTGGTAGTTTCTGGCTGGGTCTCTCGTCACGTGATCGGTGCCGTGTTGGTCTCTCTCCCTGCCATCTCTGTCTTGTCCCACCTCACTTCAGGCGTCCAGCCGGAACCTCAGGTAAACACTAAAATTAAACTCTTGTCGTGATCAGAGAACAAAACTTCTTAAACATCCCAAATATCTTCTGGTTCACAGCCTCAAAATATTTCACACATTTCTTATCTGAAAGTATCTCAAGGAGAAGTTTAAAGTAAAAATGTAACCCTACTAAACTTGCACCGTCATAGTTGCTGCTTCTTGGTATCATTCAGAGAGATTGCAGTTGACACTGCTGCCAGGACTACTACTAAAGACGCCATGCTCGGACTAATAGTACTTGTATTGCTGCTGATTTAACTGCAACTACTGTGCCTCTGTTGTCCCTGCTTTTGAGTAATAGTTTACTCTGACTGTTATCTCTAAGCTGATTTGAAACTCATCATGGTCTAAAACAGCTCATTAGCTGGTGTTAACCTGTTATAGGACCACTAGAATGAACACGCATGGATTTTGGCACCAGACATGTCGACTTTCCTTCTTTGAGTCCTGCATGTGTGAAGATTGAGTTGCGCTTGTTTTGCGGCGTTTTAAGTCAAGTGCATTTCCAGCTCTGTATACGTATGAGTCTCGTATTTCATGTTGGAGCCAACGGCTGCTTGCAAGATGTGCATTGGTTTCATATCTTGTTTTTCCAACACCCGATGTCTTTATCCATTTCTCTCCCACCCTGCTCACTCTCTCGCCTCAGCTCTCGCCGTCGCTTCAGGGCTCGCAGATCAAAGCGACAGTCTCAGGGAGAGTTGCTAATTAGACATGCAGTTTTCTGGACTTTAATGCCTTTGAAGATGTTAAGGCCCAATAACAGTGCTGAGTGAGGGTTGTGGGGTGTTAGGGTGGGGTGGAAGGGCATGACAGGGAGAGGGGAGGACATGTGTAGTGATGAGCTGGGAAAAGATCTTATCTTGTCAATGTAATTGTTAACAGCGTGAAAATGTCCCCAAATTCACTTTGCTGTCTGCATGTTTTTGCATGAAAAGAGCTCTGCGTATTTCTAAGAGCATAAATCACTATGTTTTAGACTTTTACAAATCACATTATATTTCATTTATGTTGCTTAGACCTGACCACTAAGACATTTCCCCAAAACTATGACAAAACAGCTCACTTTATTGGGTCAAGGATCCCTTTACAAAGCTAAACCTTATGGACAAAAGTACCGGGCCACACCTCCTAATCACTGGCTTCAGCTGTTTCAGGCCCATTACCACAGGTGTATAAAATCAAGCCCCTGGCCCTTGTAACCTGCTTCGGCAAACATTTGTGAAAGACTGTGCTGCTGTGAAAAGCTCCCTGAATTCAAGCGTGGCACTGTAATAGCATGCTGTCGTTGCAACAAGTCAGTTTGTGAAATTTCTGTCCTCTTAGATATTATATGATGAACTTTAAGTGGTATTATTATTGCAAAGTGGAAGTGTTTAGGAACCACAGCAACTCAGCCATGAAGTGGCAGACCATGTAAAGTTGCAGAGCAGGGTTGCTGAGTGCTGCAGACTTATCAACATCAGCACAAAAACTGTGTGCCGGGAGTTTCACTGCATGCGTTTCCATGGCTGCTCAGCTACATGCAGGCTTTACAGCACCAAGCACAATACCGAGCATCGGATGGAGTGGCATAAAGCAGTGGTCCCCAACCCCCGGGCCTCGGACCGGTACCGGTCCGTGAGTCGTTTGGTACCGGGCCGTGAGAGTTGAGGCTCAGGTGTGAAATGTATGGTTTTCAGGGTTTTTATCGGTTTTCAGCGTTATTTTGTTATCGTTTTTATCGTTAACTCTGTTTTCCTGGGTCTTTTCATGTGTGTTTTGAATAAATCTTCTTTTTTTCGGTACCGGTACTAGTTTTATTTTGTTGTATTTATCCGCGACACCTTAAAGGCCGGTCCATGAAAATATTGTCAGGCATAAACCGATCCGTGGCGCAAAAAAGGTTGGGGACCGCTGGCATAAAGCAAGCCACCACTGGACTCCTGAGCAGTGGAAACATGTTCTGTAGGGTGACAAATCATGCTTCTCTATCTGGCACTCTGTCTGACGAGTCTGAGTCTGGAACGTTCCAGTGAAGGGGACTCTTAATGCCTCAGCTTACCAACACATTTTGGAATATTCTGTGCTTAGGTTTTCTCTTGCAGCATGAGTCTGCTTTAGTGTAGATGGCCCAACACTTGCTCATGTGGTGGATTTCAATTTGAGATTGAACACACTACAGTTTGTTCAGTGCTAAATCTTCAACATTGGTGAAAAACTCATTTTGACAGCATTGTTTTGAAATCCATCCAGTTATTTTCATGCTATATATAGAAGTAATCCCTTCAAGCCAAAGTGCAGGTTTCAGACTGCACTAAACACTGTTGTAGACCAGTGGTTCCCAAACTTTTTTTGCTGGGCCCCCCTTTGTTTTACATGAAAAATGGTCACGCCCCCCCCCCATGCAATAGCTCTGCGCCCCCACACTTTGGGAAGGTCTGGTTGTAGACAGTTTTTACCCCTCAATCTTAAAAGGTTGATGGGGTATTGTTGCTGTTGACACCCAAGTTTGTGAATATGACAACTCAAGGCTGACGTGATGTAGGATTTTTAAATTCATCCCTTAGGTGCACCTACTAAAAATCTCAAACAAGTTTGAATCTCAAGGACCCTGACCTAGAGTTCAAGACCAGAGTCAACTTTTCTGAAAATCGCCTAGGATTTTCAAATTAAGGTGCATCTACCAGGAAGCTTTTTTTAAATGTAAATTTTAAATTTTTCCTGCTCTTGGCTCTATAAGAAGTCGGTGACAGAGGATATTCCTAATAATGCCACCTTAGGCTGGGAATGCAGCAGCACCACAGCTCCACCCACCTGCTGTTCTAATCGTTTGCAAGGACCAGCCAATGAGAAGAAAGCTAGTTTAAAGGAAGAGGTGCAAAAAAAAATCTTGCTTCACAGTGTGCATGAAGTGAAGTGTCGCACTACAGCCCAGGTTAAGATGAATAAGGATTATTTTGAAATCAGAATCATGCAAAGATACTATAGTAAGGTCCAAGAATAAAATATGGAGAAAACTGGAAATGAGCAAAATAGAATCCCTTTGATTGTCGTAAAGGTCTATTTGTGACAATAAACAAATAAAATGATTCATTAATTTAAGAAAATGTTCCATGAAATTATAGAGCTAGTCCTGAAAACTGAAAACGTCTGTGCACTTATTCCCTGAATTGCTCTTGACATTTTAGGATATAATATTGCAGTTTTGGTGACACAATCCAGGGAAATACCAAGGAAATGGCAACAAGAACTGTAGAGAAAAACGTTTGCCGTGGGGGAAATGGAAAGCTAATTAATTCAATTTTATTTATGTAGCAATAATTCACAAGGGTAATCATCTTAAGGCACTTTCTGGTAGCAGTTATCTGAACTGAACTGTAGTACTTTGATCCAGAAACCTTCGAGCTTTTATCATATTTTATTCAATAAGCCTATGGATTGTCTTTGGGCTACAACATGCTGGCTTTGGCTCTGGTGGTGAAAGATGTAGTGTGATGCACTTGTGTTACACAACATAACCACTAAGTGCTTAAACAGAAAACCTGGATTTTACAGCTGAGGAGTAGCCAGTGTTACATCATTACATCACTACGTGCTTAGTAGGTGTTTTTATGGCACACGCTTCAGTTGAATGTGCAAGAATTCTTTGTTGCTGTTGTATTTGCTAAGACATTTGAATAACTAGCTTTTGTTTTTCCTCAGGTGACCGCGTTCCTGTGCTGTGCCACCATCCTGGCCATCATCCAGTTTTGTAACTTCTGTCAGCTGAGTTTCTGGATGCGCTCAATCCTGGCCACTGCTACAGGGGTTGCTTTGCTGCTGCTGCTGTTGTGCAGTCCTCTGTATGGGGAAAGGTGAGACGCTAACTGCACATACACACAAACACTAAGTGCAGGGTACTCTGTGGGATGCTATCATGAATCCCTATAAAAGACTTAAGTAGTCAAGGGTAGAGCAGTGATTTCTAGCCAGCCCTTATTGTAAAACAAATTTGCACCTTTTATGTTTAGTCTGTAGATCTCATGCATATATTCACTACATATAATCCTCAGTGTACAATGTACTGACTAAAATGGCACAGTGTAAGTGGAGCTATTCCACATTTTCTCTCCAGAAACAGCAGTTCAGATCAGTGAGAGTCAGCGGGAGAATAATCAATGTGTTTTGATAGAAAGGGAGAAGTCTTCTGTTAGAAACCGATGGAGACTTTTGCGGAGGGGAGAGCGGAGAGCTCGGGTGAAGTGTAGGAGTCATCCAGAGATTATTCAAGCATTATTCAGCTTTATTTCAAACTGTTCTACCATATAAACACGGCATCTGTGTATAACAGCTGACCTGCAGGATGTAGAGAAGAGCATAAAAGGTTATTTGCAATCCACTCTTAATGAAGTTACTGCAGCTGTGCCTCATCTGTAAATGCACACATTGCTCTTGCTTTTTTCTGCATGCTTCCAGTCCGAGTCGCATTAATAGCTGCACATTTCATTATATTATGTAATTGATCTGATGGAGAGGAGGGAAAAAAGCAAAATACATGAGGGAGTTTGTGACATTGTGGGCATCTGTGTATGCACAGAGACACCGCAGAGGCTTTTGTGCTCCATTATGAACTGATTTCTGTGTACAGGATTATTAAATCTACGGCGCAAACTGCTCTGCTCGCTGTAAAAACGTAACTTTGCTGCCTTTAAAACATCCATAGCATGCATGCATTTTGTATTTGCAGTGAGATGACTTCTTCTCAGTTTCAATAAAATGCCACTATTACAGAGGACCAGAAAGATGTGGGACTCAGATCTAAACATTCAGGACAAGCGCTCAGTAAAGAGCTACAGGACAGAGCCAAAGCTTTACATGGCGCTTCCATGCCAACCATTCTCTCGTGCCAATTATCACTCCGATAATATCTCCCCCTGGCATTCCAAATTAACACTTTGAGCTGCAACTATCACCTCCACACCAGGCACAAAAGAAGGCAGGCTTTTTCCTTTGTTTTTGTTTTTTATTTTTTTTAAGCACTTTTTTGCAGTTAATTGCCTCCTGCTGACCTTTTTAAAAAGCATTTGCATTGTTAATTTTAAATACAATCACCTGCCAAATTTGCACTTTGGGAAAAATACCAATAGGGAAAAATAGTAACCAATAGAACTACAAAAATTATTGCAATTATTGCTTTTTAGTCTCAAAATTAACACTGAACTTCTTTAGTAAATAATAAAAGTCCTTTTTTTAATGCTAAAGAAAGAGGTTTGCATTGATGCACTGAGTCTGCCCTGTTTGTTTGTGGCTCAGAGTTGAATTGGTAGTTTTTAAGCACTGTACCTGTAGCAGATTCCGCAACAGAAATAAGAATATCTACATCATATGCAGGAATTCAAATAGCACTCAAGATCCAGTGAAGCAGTTCATCAGGAAAAAAATGTCTTTCCTCAGAATAATTTATAATTCATTTGTTTTGTGAGCTCAAGTAGATTTGTTTTCTTTCTGGAAAGGCTGTGATCAGCTGACCTGTGATGATGCTATAGAGTTTGGGATTTTTAACCACCCATCTAATATTTTAAAAATAGGTTAGCATATCGCTAGTTCGCCAAATAATGATGGGGTGATGTTACTTTTTGATTTCTTAATTATCTTCCTGGCATCAGCTAGAAGGAACCCCATGAAACATGATCCTGCTTGAGATTGTGGTGTATTAAGCCACCTATCGCATTTAATTACTCTGTAATGAAGATGTCGAAACACCATTTTGGCTTGTTCTGCCCACTTTAACCCCTGATTACATGCTGTCATGCGTGCGTATTGTTTGTGTTTGTGTGCATGTGTGTGACTGTTCCTGACTGGTCTTCTGACTGACACCACTCTTGTGTCTTTCAGCTCGAGTAATAACAGCTTACCAGTTCAAGGGTGAGTGTCTCCTTGGAAACAGAGGGGTTTGATTGATGACTGACATTTGAAGGGTTAACAGGAGCGACTCTTTTTTTTCTCTACTCATAACTACAGCTCTCTCTAGCTTTAACCTATGCTCACACGGTCATGCTTTTTATTCTCCTATCCATCTCTCTCTCTTCCTCTGTTTTCCTCTTTGTGTGCTGCAGTAATAATGCCTGCAAATGCCAATAGTGCTGGAAATGACTCATGCAGCTCATGCTGGCTTAAATCTTGTATGAGGGCTACAACTAAGCCTTAATCAAGGCTGCAGTAGAAAAAATGAAAGTAGGGAACTGCTTCTTTGTATTCTTTGGTCTTTGTTGGCTCCTTTTCTGGGCATTCACGATACACCTGTTTATATTACAGTTGGATATGTAAACTTGTACATTGCATTTTTTATTTTAGTTTTTATCAAGGGAATTACAAAAACAAACTGAAACAGACAAATTCTCCGTAATTCTTTTTCTCCCCATCAGTGATGGATAAGTGTGGGCCACAGCCTTTTACTGTGGTTACACTGAATGCCTAAAGTATGCATTTTACTTCTATTATAATCAATGGAAGTGGCTACACCAGACATGAGAGTATGTGGCACGGAGATCATCTTCTTTTTTTTTAAATCTTTGCGTGAGATGCATGCAGTTATTGTATACACACATGGGTCATAAAGCGTTGGTATGTTTTATGCAAGAAAAACTTCAGCATCCACCTTTGCCAGTAGCCCAGCAGCTGGTGGTTACTTAGCAACTTAACATTAAAAAAGTCTGGGGATGTGGGGATAGAAACACCTCTAGACCTTGTTAGGTCAGCTATTTTGAAGTTTTATGCAAATTCACTTTAATTTACATTTTCATCAGGACATAAAACTGCATGTATAGAATCACCAGTCAAATCTGAGTTAAAAAGACGACTTTTTTTGGACTTTTTCCAAAAATAAGGTTTTAAAAAGCATTTTCCCCAGGATATTATACTTAATAGGTATGCACTTACTGGCCACTTTATTGGGTACACTTTGCTAGTACTAGCTTGGATAAAGGGATGGGCACAGTCAGCAAAAATAATCAAGTAGGCTGTGGCATTTAAACAGTGCTAAACTTGTACCGTGTGAAGGGGAGCTTCCCACACCATTACACCAACAACAGATTCAACCACAAAGGAGGATGCATCAATGTTTTTTGTTTTTTTTTTCACATTAAATTCTGACCCTACAATCTGAATGTTGCAGCAGAAATTGAGACTCATAGGAAGGCAAAGCTGAAAACAAAGCACCTCTTGTTTTGCCTGTTACTCACATAGCCCTATGCAAAACAATCTCTGCAGGTGTGGTTACTTAGAACAAATACTGTGCTGCACACCTGCTTTACAAACTGTTCCCATGTGTTATACATTCAATGTATTCACAGAGTTTGTGTAAGATATGACACAGATCACACACAAGTAGTTTTTTCCCTCATTCTTTCGTCTTGATAAAATAACTGAATTTCAATTGTACATCAGAACATCTCGACATCATCAGTTTACATGTTCTGCATTGGGGTGATGATGATAAATAACCCCCCAAATAATATTACATTGACGATAACTTGTCTTATTCTAGTGCTAATTACAGTTTTTAGCTAAAGTGCATTATCAGATAAAATTTACCAGGCATAACTCCTTGAATTTTCTTATCTGTCACATAAATCCATAAAGTGATTGGATGAAAATCACTTTGGATTTTTTTTTAAAATTTTCAATCAGCCTTCATCTTCTTTAACTCAAGTCTAGTTTCTAAATCTTCCAGAATTAATTAAACTGCAGATAAGCAGTGGTTGGGGAGTTATAACTGGCAGCTCTGCGATAAATCAGAATTTTCGTTCAAGTCCAAAATTATACTCTTGCTCTTTGGTAACGTTTGGACTCCAAAAATCTTAAATCAAATTTGATTAAGGCTAAACCAAAATTTCCCAGCATTACTGCACGTTATCCGGATTAAGCACATGCAACTTAAAAACTGGGCTAAGAACTGCAAGATATATGTTAAAACTTTATTAAGATGCTATGTCGTAGATTCTCCAAGAAATTTCTGTAGAAATCTCCTTACCATCTTTTGTCTTTCAATTCTCATCTGATCATTTCTCCCATATGTCCCTCATTCTTTTCTGATTCTCCCATCATTTTCTTCCACAGACCAAACACCTCAACATTGATTGACGGCAGTTCAGAAAATGGTCCTAAGATGTTTTCTGACCTTTTGATCTCAGAGGCCATCCTGGCCTTCTTCTTGCTTCTTCTCCTTGTGTGGTTCCTCAACCGCGAGTTTGAGATCAGCTACCGTCTCCATTACCATGGCAACGTCGAGGCTGACAAGCACCGCACCAAGATCCAGATGATGCGAGATCAGGCTGAGTGGTTACTCGGCAACATCATCCCCATCCATGTCGCTGACCAGCTCAAGGTTTTGTTGCCATTTAAATGAACTATTAAACTTGAACTTAATCGTCTAAATACTGATCAATAAATAAACATTTTCTTGTTTTTTATTCTTTGTAATCAACCATTATTAAGCAAATCATGGATAAATACAGCAGTAGTAGTTTTAGCAGATAATGAGCAAAAAATGGCAGTTGTGTTAATTTACAATGAAATCTAAATTCATCCTGAATCTCATGTATACACACGTTCAAACTATTGACTACAGTTGAAGATAGTTCTCTCTTGTGAGTCCATTATAACATGAGCCTCTTCTCTCCATATATTTCAGGTGACCCAGAGCTACTCCAAGAACCACGACAGTGTGGGTGTGATCTTTGCCAGTATTGTGAACTTCAGTGAGTTTTATGAAGAGAGCTATGAAGGTGGAAAAGAGTGCTACCGTGTCCTGAATGAGCTGATTGGAGACTTTGACGAACTCCTTCGCAAACCTGAATTCTCAAGCGTGGAAAAAATCAAGACAATCGGGGCCACCTACATGGCTGCGTCGGGACTGAACGTCGAGCAGATGGCTGAGAATGAATCGGATTCTCCGCATGCTCACCTCATGGCCCTTTTCAACTTTGCCCTTGAGATGATGGGAGTCCTGGATGATTTCAACAAGAACATGCTAGGCTTCGGGTTCAAGCTCCGCATTGGATTTAACCATGGTCCCCTGACGGCAGGGGTCATCGGCACCACAAAGCTGCTCTATGACATCTGGGGAGACACAGTAAACATTGCCAGTCGCATGGACTCCACCGGCGTGGAGTGTCGGGTGCAAGTGAGCGAGGAAAGCCATGCTGTGCTCAGTGCCATGGGTTTAGAGTTTGACTATAGAGGTACTGTGAATGTTAAGGGCAAAGGTCAAATGAGGACTTTCCTTTACCCAAAAAGTGGGGAAAGTATATACCAGGATCAAGCGGAGCAGGCTGTCAGAATTGGACCCTCGTCCGTGGTATTACCTGCCAGTGAGACTTCAGCTGCCCAGCCTGTGGCTGCCCCTTCCACTCCTCCCTCCTCCTCTCTTTCCACACTCTCTACTCAACCCCAATATGCTATAAGGCCTCCAGGAGTAGGCCCTGAGCCTGTCTCAGTTAAGCCCACAGAAGTGAGGGAGGAAGGATATAGGGACGCTGGACAGCCCCCTGCCACAGACGTTCACACCCCTCCCCATTCTGAACTAGGCCCAGAGCCCAGTTGTGCACAAGGCCCCTCCCAGGTGCAGCCAGCTCCTCTCGCGCTTCAAGAAGAGGAGGATGAAGATGAGGAAGCGAATGAGCTAACTAAACTCAATGAGGAGTTTTATGCTCGCCTCTGATCCCTTCTGTCTCCTCCCGCTGTCTTCTATTCCTCTTACTGCCCCCAGCTGCTGCCTCCCCAGGACTGATTACCGATGTTGGCGGGATGTCTTTTCCTTTAAGCAAGTGTCTTTGGCATGGAAGACAGACTGGTCACGTCAAAAACAAAACCAGTGGATGCAGTGGCTATAAGATTGTACTTGATGTCTTTCATGGAAGTGTTGCCTGAGTCCTGGGGCGGGTTTTACCTGTGTTGAGCACAGCAGTTTATGATGGCGAACAAGCTGAAAAGGGAAAGAGGGATCTGTTGGTGTTGTTGTTGTTGTTGATGCTTTTGTTATTAAGTGCCTTCAGGATTAGAACAGTGAACAAAAATATGAATACTGAACAAGTTTTAACAATGTTAGACTACAGAATATGCTGTGGTTTCTTTTTTCATGCTTTTATTTTGAATGCAAGTATTTCTTACAGAAATCATTGTTGTGCCATATCAACTGTTTTAACTTGATCAAAGTCCTGACCTTACTTAAGGGGAAAATTATTTCAGATTTTATATAAGTGCCAATGCAGAATGACAGGCGGAGCAGGAAACTTTGGGAAGAATGAGGGAATCACATGAAGCAGTGTTAATTTATGTATTGTGCTTTGACATCAGGGCTTAATACAGTATTCATTTGTGCCAGAGTCTCACTTTCAAGGGACATGCAGGCTGCAGAGATTTTAGTTTGTGTAGCAGCTCAATGCACATTTTAAGCACAGGTCTTGCACAGTGTTTTTCTTTTTTTTTTTCGACCACTTGTATTCAGTAGTTATTACCAATAAATAGCTTTTAAGAAACTTTAAACAGAGCTGAGAGAATCAAAAGGACAAAATCTAATCAGATAAGGGACTATAGATCTGGAAGAAAGGTGGTTTGAAAAAGTGAGACCATCACAAATGCAGGAAGGCACTTTAAATATACTGGGATCTGTCTTTCGGGTATTAAACGCTCACCTCTCGCACACATGTCCAATTTTACAGGTAGTGTAAAATTGTCTCGATGCGAGCTCGCTGATATTTCAGCTTTTTCTTTGATCAGAACCACTCCTGCTTGGAAGACCAAATATCTGTCTGGTGATATTTTGTATTTTTGTTTTGACCAAATGAAAAGAGTGAAGAGGAAGCCAGCAGCGTGTTGGCCTGTCTCTGAATACAGCCACTCTCCCATTTGCTCCTACTGGAATCCTGATAAATAGCCAAAATACAAGACTCACTCATTCAAACGACCATAATTTGAGTACTCCCATTTACATCCACACCAACAACACAGATTTCACTCATTATTAATTATAAGAGAGTCCTAATAATGCTGGGAGGTAGTATGATACTTGCAAGTATTGGCAGTATTGGCAGCTTTAATTTTGTTTTCATTGGAGTCAATAAGTCAAATGCAGAATATCACCATTCCTGTCTTCTGATGAGGTGAGCGCTTGATACTCGAAGGATTTCAGGTGAAGTATAACTTTAAATGGGACTGTGAGGGACAATCACTGCGTAGTTCTTGGTCAGTGATGGGGTGGTCCACAGGCTGTTGGCGTGGGTTTAAATTTAGAGATGAGTGACAGTTTCCACAGTACTGTGTGTAAAACCTCAGACTCAAATCTTGTGACTTTTCTTTAATTTCCGTTGCCTTCATTGCTAAAAGAAAAAAAAATCTAGACAATGGTCAGCCCAGCCGTGCAAATTACCCAACAGATCATTGTCGTCTGCCTTTATCTTTGTGATTTGCTGTTGAAAGATCGGGACGTACTACCTTGATCCTGTCACAGTCTTTTCACCAATCGGGGCCTCTACTGAATCAATAAAATTGTGCCACTTTAATTGAGTGATTATGGGTGCAGTGCAGCCTAATCTAGCTGATTGTTTGTGGTGCCTGAAAGTATGACTGTATTATTTTTTTTTTTTTTAGTTTTTGGTTTCCAGAAAGTTTTTCTTCTTTCATTTTTTTTTTTACCAAGCTGTCATTATGCAGAGGATAGATTGTGATTGTATATTTGAGACAATTAATGGTCGTTGTGTGCAGGTTTTGTTTCTTTTTTGATAAATTCCAGATATTTTTTTGTGCTTCTTTCCAGTTCTTTCCTCCTGACACAGACCAGCCATCTGGAAAAGTGTGGTGGTGCTCCCATTAAATCGCTTGCTCGTTTTTCTCTTTCCTCACTTCGTGCTTTGTCTTTTCTCCTGAAAGCACGCGTTTCTCTCTTATATTTCCTAAGTGTGTGAGAAATATAAGCTTTTACGTCAACTCAATCATATAAAAAAGATCGAAATGGGGACAGTTTGCTATTGCCTTATCCATGGATTATTCATTTTCAGCTTTCACCACCACATGTTTAAAAAATTTGTCAGCAGTTGGGTTAGATGGACTTTCTCTGTTCAGAAATCTGTCCACGTGCAAAAATGCCAAAATGACAAGAAGGATGAGTTATGTAGCTGTCGGGACCTGTAGCAAAACATGTTTATTTACCTCTTTCACTAAGCTCTCTGGACATACACAGCCTGTGCCTTTTGAATGTGGACTATGTTTAATCATAGCATCAACTTTCATAATCGCTGCAGCATTAATACCCTGAAAATCCAAAGAGGTTTCTCCAGAAGCCGTCACTGCAGACGCTGAAATAGTTAAATGAGTCCTGCTTTTGTTGCCCAGAATCATTACTTTTTGAAAGATTTACACTACTTGTACATTTTCTCCACTTGCTCTTGTTTGCCAAATCTAATGAAGCATAGCACACAATGGAACACAAATAAAGGAGAATATCGAGTATCAGCTGCGAAGGAAAGTTCACCGTCTTGTTGCCTTGCGTTGTTAGACGATCTATGGGATTTTCAGGCCATGTGCCTGCAGCCCTACCATGCACAGCAGTGACACTAACTAGCCATAGATCTGAGGTGGCGTAGGAAGAACCCCACAGGTTCGTGGGTACACATCCTCTCCAGTAGCACTAATCTGTACACACACATATGAATAAAATATTACACGCTGCTGACTTATGTGATCTGGGGTGCAGTAGGGGGAGATGTGTGTGAGTGAGACTTGTTTGCATGCGAGTAGTTTCCTTCTTTGCTAGTCTCCTTATTTTTTGTTTGATTCTGTACTATACTGTCATCCTATTTCATTTCAATGTCATTCTACATATATGTTAATTATTATGCATATATTTCCAGTATTCAGGAAATTCAAATCACTAAGCTTTGCTCATTAAAGGTTACCTGAATACTGTCCTTCTTTGACAGTGTATTTATAAATGATTTGTTCCAGTTTTGGCAGAAGCTAGTTCTCCCCGTTTTAAAAAAGGATAAGTTCATGGCATTCAGTCATCTCTTTTTTTTTTTTCTTTTCCTTTTGGAGAAGTGTGATTCTGCTTTATGACAGAGAAATAAGGGAAATACATAAAGGCATAGAGTGTCAGCACTTAAGCATCACATTGTCACTCATTTTAAATTATGTCAGCTGCACGTCTTTTCATTATAATTTGCAAGTAAATTCTACCCGTATGTGTTCTAAATTACACTGGGACAGATTTTCAACAGTGTTGTTTGATTTGAAATGTATTTGTTTTATGTTCATGAATGAGATGTATAATGTACGTTTTGTGCACATTACCCATGTATCATTTATCAACACGTGATAGTAATCTGTACACATTTGCACAAAGCACTCAGTGTTTGTACATATGCAGTTATTTTGTCACATATGATTTTTTTTATACATGTGCATGTGTCAGATTCTGTCCAAAAACAATGAATAAGAGACACGTATTATCAGATTGAGTTTTGTGTGTCTGTTTGCTTATGTGTGAGTTATATGACTTTATTCCTCTTTTTTTTCAGTATGAGAGAAATAAATCTCCAAGCGGAAAGCTTGGACTGTCTAGCATACTGTAACGTGTAAAGTCACGTAGAGTTGAATTTCTGTGCATATAATGAGTGATGACAGACTGTACTGTCATTTAGTTTTGTATTATTAAAACTAAATAAGAGGTGAGGGAAGCAACTTAGAGATTCTCAAAAAGGCAACATGCAAATTAGCCAGGTTTTAGGGAGGATTAGGCCTAACCTAAAAGGTCTCAAAATTGGAGACAGGGTTGTGATCTTCATCAGCAGCCAGCTGATGACTGAAGTTGGGGCGCAGTTTATATTAACCAAGTGCATTTTAACTGCAAGAAGGTATGTTTTAATAATTTGTTGAAAACTGTTAACAAATTTAAAAGAAGGTTAGTAAAACACGATTTCAAAAATGACAAATAAGTGGCTAGAAACTGACAACTTTTAAGTATTTTTTATTGTAGACGAAAAAACTCCTATATCATGTAGAGATTCATATTTTTCCAGTTATTAAAGGAAATTCAGATCCTTGAAATGTACATTTCATATCTAATTTCTTTTTTCCAGAAAAAAATCACGTGAATTTGTAAAAATAAGGTAAAATATTTAAGTTAACATCTTAAAAAAGATATTTTTATTCATTAATGTATATATTTTGCCCCGAGTTTACAAAAAAAGATGGGATCAAATGGGTTGTAAAGTGCATGTGTGAATCACTGGTTGTGCTGTAGCGCCCCCAGCGGTCAGCGGTGACGGTGTTTTCACGTAGGGCGTGAATGCGCGGCCCCTCCCCCTCTACAGCCGATCTGGAAAAGAAAAAAAAAACTTTTTTGTACCGAAGGAATCAACAGCCGCCATCTTGTCGTGGCTCGGAATTAGGATTTCGGTCCAACACTGGGTTTTACGTAGAAATCGAGCATCCTTCCCGTGATATGACAGCGGCCTTCTGCCGAAAACGAAATCGTAATATCGCTTCGGAGACATTTTGTGCGAAAAAACGGGAATTGGATTGGTGGTCGTCGGGCAGAAAAGCTCCGTATATCTGATTTCCCCTTCAGAGTGCGGTGATTCAGCCCCTGTCGCCGTTCGGGAGCAGTATTGTTTACCGTGGGCAAGCGGTGAGCAGATCGTGACTTTCGAAGAGATTTGCAAAAATACGGCATTTTTATGCAATTGTGCATTTTTGTGGAGCTTCGCGCGATTTTTGCATGAAGAAATTTGACGTCACGCAAAATGGGTACTTTGAACATCTAGAAATTACGACTTTTCTCCCGGAATGCAGCAATCCACCTGATTTAACTGGATCGTCAGTGTGAGGCTCGATTTTTACATGGGGAATATTTTATTTTGGGGTATTTAACGATAATAATGTGGGTGTTGGGTGTTGGATTATCATGGGGTGAATGGCGGTGGCGAAGCGGGGCGCTATTGCATCTCTTTTAAAAGACACCGACTCTCACGGCGAGGAGTAGCTAAACGCTAACAGTTACTTTAGCTGGTAGCAGGCAATTAGCTAGCTATTAGCCAGTTAGCCAACGTTAGCAGGCTGTCAGCTTGCTAACGTGCTAACCGGGAAGGTTTTTGGTGATTGAACAACTTTCTACTAATAAGCTAATCAGAATCATCAACTTAAGCGACCGGCCAGGCAAGATTTCAACTATGGCTGAAAACCTGCTGGACGCCGGACCTCCACTCTCTAAGCGGCCGAAACTGAATTCACCTGCCCTGTCAACGTCTGATGGACAAGGTAAAGGCCTCGACACTGTCGGCACACACAAACCCAAATGTAAGGAACATTTGCACTGAAACTTCTCTTTTACTACTTGGCATTAAATCAACCGATGCCCGTGTAGCAACGTTACACGTTATCCAGTCGGTTGGGTGTTCTTTCGGTAGCAGTTGATGTGGTTTTACCGCAGTGTTGTGGTTTCATTCTGAGGTGAGCATTTACTGCACCTACCCTTAATACGCTAATGCCAGCCTTTTGGTACACTCGCCTTAACTTATGCAGCAAACCATAACACAATACGATCAGCAGAATAACTAACTTGAGTGTCTAAAATGGTCATGGCTACAACAACTGTAACTTTTGTTATCTTCAGAGGTGTTGCATTAGCTTTGCATTGCTCTACTGTAACGCTTTCGTTAGTAAAGAGAATTTGATGGGTTATAGTTGAAAAATCAAAAGACTAAAATGGTAATTATTTCACGAATCAGGTGCAAAGTGGTGTCTTTTGTGGTAGCCTGATACTGCATTAACAGCAGGTACACATGGCGTGATAAACTCACAGAGGTAACCTAGGCCCTAATTAGCTTAAATAATATTGTCTTCAAAATCCCAAATCACATACGACTTAATGCCAATGTTTGTACACCTTTAAATTCTAAGTCTGATAATATTTGCATCCATTTCCATATATTTCAGGTACGATTTTAGGTGTGTGTAATCACCAGTCAGAGAAAACGGTAAATGTTAACATTTACCGTTTTGGTAGTAGTGCCCACTTGGTTCAGCTTGTGGCTATAAAACGAAGTGTTAATAGGCAAAAAAACCAAACCCAAAAACCTCATCTCAATGGCCACTCCATCTATCCCTGAGCAAGCCTACATAGCCACACTCAGTCTCGATGGTGCTAGCTTCCTTTAACTCATTGAATTCTTGCAGAGAGTGCAGATAGGGTTATAACGTCACACATCTCAGCAGACGTGTGCACTGCTGAAAATAAATGTGTAGAAATGCAAGATAGAAATCTGTATGTGTGCTCTGAGTATTGGAATCTGAGTGATTAGGAAATGTCTGTCATATTTCTTGTAATTGGAAAGCAAAGATTGGGGATGCAAGTTCCCACTTGGCCCTTAAAAAGTTCATTTGTATTATAAAACAAGACTAGTGCTTATTTTAAATCAACTTTTTGACTTGTTCTTCCAAACTTTATAGCTGAAATTATAAAGTCATCTGGAGACTTGAGTAACATGTCTTTTTTCTTCCACCTGGTAGACTGTCCCTGCTTGTTTTTGTTGACGTGGTTTGTGAGCCCTCAGTGAAAACCCGAGTTATTGCAGCACTCTTAACTCATCTGCTGTACTGTGTGGCAAAAGTGGAGTAGCTGAACTGCATTTCTGCAGCGCTCGCTGTTTCTGTGATGGGAAAATGCTGCTCCTGGTATGAAGATACAAAAATGAGTTGATTTCATATTTTCACCATAATTGGAAAGTAATGTATGCTTTACGTGCAGAAGCATCCCCACTTAGAGTTAAGCTAGGGCTCAGCAATTAACCAAGTAATTCCAGTTTTTGTATTTCAGTGAAAATAAAGTGTTAGGGATAAAACCAATTTTGACTGCAAAGCTCTCTCTCTTATCTTTCTCCCATGTGCTGTACATCAAGCACAGACCTTTCATTTATAGTGCATATTTTTGCTGTTTGGTTCACTTCACGGCATAATGACATTTTAGCTGGAGCCCAGCATTAACCGGATCTCTCTAGAGTTGTTAAAAATCTCATTGTTTCCATTGGTGAACTTGTTGAATGATCATTAGCAGTTTTGTCATTGTATCACTCAAGGTCCTTCACCTGGTCTGTTTTCTGTGCAACAATTGCACTTCCAAACATCCCCTGGGGATTTTCCACAAATTTACAGGCTTTATGGTCAAAAATACCCATTAGTCTGGACCTAAAATGTATTATCAGTGTCCTTCCTGCTCTCTTTACCTGTTGTTTTGATTTTATTTATTTTTTTAATTTTAAACATATGAAAGGCTTCTGTGAAAATACACTGCATCCAAAATCTTTTTGATGTGGGTAGAAACTCTGGCTTACTGTATTAATCAAAGTCATCTTGATTATGATTTTTGCTGTAATCGAGGCACATTAGGTTCCGATGTAAAAAGTCCTATTTGTTTAGCTGGTGTCTTGTATGTTTGCTTTTTAACCAAGAACTGAAACTTTAGAGCCCAGAAAAGAAACATTAAACGAATGCGTTTTTCAACTGTATCGTTTACAGCGTGTGGCACATTAACGTCTTGAAAACAAAAGAAAGCTGTTTTTAGTGTAGATGCTATTAAGGGTAGCTGTTGGCCCTCTGTTAGTGAAGTGCTGCTATCAAGCCTTTAGCGGAGCATTTTTGTTTTGACCACCTTTAGCGTTTTCGAGACCAGACTTGACTTGCAAGGAGCGAGTTTAACTGTCAATCTATGTGATTGATAAGTTGCTAACTAATGGGCATGTCCTGGATAATCCTTCTTTCTGACTCTTAGAGTTACCATAATTTACACATTGAAGTGACTGAGCCCTTAAAATGATCACTAATGTATGTTCACTGGGAATGAAAGCCATGGGATTTTTTTCTTTTCTGCCATATATAAGTGGAAGTCTTTTGCAACTTTGGGGTGTCCCTGCTAACCATTAAAAAGAATCAAGGCAATTTTGTGTTGGCTTTACTCTCACACTTGGTTGCTCTTTTTTCCGGATGTGGATTAGAGAAACGAGACCTAGGACAGCAATGTTTAAAGTTGGGACATGTGTGACTAGTCAGTTAGATGTTGAAATGTGGTTACTACTGCTAGTTGGCTCCAGAAATATTAGCTGGGTTAAATGGTGTCTAGCCATTGAGTAGTGCTGCACATTTCTGTTGCTAACACAAGTAACAATAATCACAGTAGTTTAGAACCATATACAGTGCAGAATAGGTTCAATATAACGATATATATCGGATGACAATATGAAAACGCCTATCGTTTCATATTACGCTATCGTTTGTTTCGCAAAATAAACTGTTTTCGGCAATATTTTTTTCATCGTTTTGATGGTCACTGTAGAATTAAAGTTCTCTCCTTTTTCTTATATTTAATATAACCACACTATGGACGGACAAGTGACTGTTTTTATGTATTGTCGTTAGCAACAACGACGGTAAAACCATCGCGTGTGTCCACCGTCCGCTTGTTTATTTTCCACATAAACCTTTCACAATAAAGCTCAAGATCCGGTTGAGATTTTTCAAAATAAACGGAATCACGTGAAATAGTATGCAGAGTGTTTACGGACGAGAAGCTAAAAAGAGCCGTCAGGTGCTTAAAAAAATAAACCTTAGAATAGGCTTTTCCCCGCAGCACACCGTGTAATAAATACTCACAAAGAAAATTGCGGCCGGTTCAACTTATGTAACACTCCACTCCAGGTACATGGCACCCAGCTGAAAACACTTCATGCAAGTCGAGTTGCCCGAAATTCACAGAATTTACAGAAAATGTAAAATTTTTGTGATATGTATCGTTGTTGGGACGATAAATGTCTTATATTTATCTTATGAGATTTTGGTCATATCGCACAGCCCTAGTGCAAAAGATATTTTAAATTTCATATGATAGGGATTTGTTCAAAGCGGAAATACTCATTGAGCAACATAAGTATGTTTACTTTTGATTCTACATTTGTTTACACTGTCATTAAAGACATTACATATATAAACGGCCAAAAAAGGTGTATGGCTTACTACATTTGTGGTATTTATTATTTGCTGACTTTAAGCCCAGCCTCACAGTCTGCATGTAGCCAGAAAAAATAGTTTTCCTGTGTCTGTCATTTGCACATGTGCCTCATTGTGTTTGATTTTGTCAAGTCTTCAAGAAAAATGAGCTGGAAGACCTTTCAGGAACAATGGCAGTCACAACATCAGTGATTATAAATTACAAGAGCTATCACACATGACAGAGGCACCACATGTCTGTAATCCATCAATAAACCTGCCACGCCCCCTCTTTATACTTTTTGCCAGTTGCAGTTGGGACTCAATGGACCCCCATGGGACAGCGCAGGGCAGCAGTAACATCAGCTGTAAATTACTGCAGATAAAGAGCTGGCTTTCCCTCTTTTATGACAGTCATGCCTGGAGCTTTATATGCAGCACCCATCTGCCCTAACATTTGGCCTTTCCTCTTTCCCTTTTCCTAACATATAGCCTGGCTTCTTTTATGAGAAAAATAGCCAAATTTTAAAACGAAATGACAGCATTAACATACGCTGTTGTTCTCCTTGTGATGTCTCTATGCGTGAGCAGTCCTATTTAAACCTTTGTAGCAATGGGAATTGAGAACCAGTTCCAGCTGAGATCAGATTCCAAATTGTTCACTTAATTGCAATTATATGACGCCGTGTGTGTGTGTGTGTGTGTGTGTGTGTGTGTGTGTGTGTGTGTGTGTGT